ATTAACGCTGTATTTGTAACGAAATAAAGTGTGTTCATAAGAAAGTGCGCCTTTGTCATTGCCGCGTCCGCGCACGCGAGTATCGGCGTCCCTCGAGAACGGCTCCGCGCCCCGCGGGCGTAACAATATATATGTATACACATGTAACGAATTTACTTGTAAATTTTTACAAGTGAGTTTTAGGCCACCTAACAGGGAAGGCGATGGCACGGTAAGCCGGAGATTCCAGGTTCGACTCCTGGCCGAGGAGTTTTTTTCGCAATATTTTAATAATTAGTTAGGGGGGTATCCGGGGTTTTTCATATGTGAGATGCAAATCTAGCATCCCGTATGATTTTAAGAATTGAGAATTCAATTCGAAAAACTCACTTGTAAAAATTTACAAGTAAATTCGTTACATGTGTATACATATATACATATACATGTATAAGTTCTCGCTCAACACTTTGAGATCGGCTCGTAAGGCCTTATATTCACTCATTGGTTTAAATTTCACGAGCCTTAAGTCTTTATTAATTGTTAAATATATTTTACTTTTTTACACATACCGTAAGTAAGTTTCTTATATCACGTAAAAGCTAATAATTAAATAAATAAATATGATATGAATTATTAAAGTCACTTTCAATGCAGTTACTCTTTTCAATGTTCGCGATAATTTTATGATAACATATGGCTGTCGTTATTATTGGTAATCGCGTCGATATGTATCATAACCGTGCCGGTACATATGGATTAAATCTCGGGCCGCTGGCGCGTGCTAGTAGGAGACAGCCGGAGGAGAACTACTTCTCCTCACGGCGCACGATATGGTGCTCCGCTTTGTACGGTGTGCCTCGCACACTGCGTGCGCGTGAACTTGGCGCGAGGCACTACCGTGCCTTTTGATATTAGTGCGTTTTTCCTTCAACTTTCGCCACTTTCACGTATTCCATCTTTATCTGATAGTGATAGAAACGACGTGACGACGGAGTGCCATCACTACCGCCGTTGCCACATTGCTTTGGGTAAAGGAAAGATTGACAAGGAGTGACTACGCGACGTTGTACCAATCGATTTGGACGAAATTTATAGGATTGGTAGATGACTATGTGGAGTATTATAATATATAAATGTCCGCCCCGTGTTTTCGAAATATGTTACAATATGCATGATTTGCTTTCAAATTAACAAACGAGAGAGAGATATTTATGAATGTCAACAAAGTATGTTTTTCTATAGATATTTTAAAGAAACCATGTGAATGTAAAAATGCAGCGTTCATACGATGTGCACACTGTCGTGAAAATTATTGTTTCACTTGTTTTTATGACAAATATCATCCTGCAGTATGGATTGGGTAATTATGCAGTTATACGGACTATTTTCCGATCTCAACAATTTTGACATATGTTATCAAGGTCACCTCTCTGAATAATAATATGAAGGTTTTATCCGTCGCTCATTGTTTATAAAAAAGTTATGAACAAAAAAAGTTTGATGATTGAACTCTCGT